TTATATATTCATAGATAATATGGCAACACAAATAGAAGTCTATATGGATAAATTGCGGTAGGTCATATGATTGCAACCTACACAATCAGATGTATAGTGACAGTACAGCTTTAGAATCTTGCATGTCATAATTCAGGATATTTGGCTGGAAAATTTAACACAACTTCACCTAAGTCGGCATTCTGCAGAGCTCCAGATAATTTTTTGGGCCAAGGGGTTTTTACCCCTCAAAATTTAGAGTGAGGGGTAAAATGCAAATTCTGAAAAACTTAAGGGGTAAAATCTGTCAAAAAAAAGCATTTTGCATTTTTTATAAACAAATTAAACTTATTGTTGTGTTTGTTTGTTTGTTTGTTTGTTTGTTTATTTTCTTTTTTTAGAAAAACCTTTACAAATTAAATACTGATTTAATGTGAAACAATACAAAACATGCCATGTAAAGTCAGATTTCCAGAGTATACTGGAACTCAAGTTTAGGATAAACAGCAAAATTATCAAGGCTTCCATTTTCAAAATTTGGAAGTCAAAGACTTCAAAATCTCTGATATTTGAAGTCACATTATATAGGTAAAGAAGGAAAAGTATTGATTTTCGGAAGTCACAGGCCAAATGAAGGAGTAAATGACTCCCAAACTTCCACTAGTGGAAGCCCTGAAATTATTTTATTTTCTAGGAGTCAATATTTTTATTTTTTTATTTTTGTTGGCATGTACCTTATCATGTACTCCAGTTTGAACAATTATAGTTGAAATTAGAATTAAAGAAACATAAAAAAGATTTTTTTATCTTTCCTTAAAAAAAGGATTGGTCTGAGAGAAAATTGTCCGTAACTGTAGACTGGGTACGAAAATATTGAGTACAAAACTGCAAGTGAAAAACATGTTATTTTGTTCCAACAACAAAAGTTAAAGAAATTAAAATATATTTTTGTTTATATTGAGGCATTAGCATGTCAATAGATGCCTAAACAAACTTAATACTGTGTTAACTCCTACAACGATTATCTGGTACAAATTTCATCAATAATTTCACAGGTTGATCTACGGGAGTTACCTCCCTTCTGTATTTCCTGCTACTTTCGTTTTTAACATGCGTTGTTGACAGTTTTCAATGCAATAAAATGGAAATATATTGTATTTTTATGCTCAAAACATTTTCTTTCTACATATCAAATGTTTACACTTCTATTTTTTCACGCATAAATTTTGAAACACGAGCGTATTTTCATTTTGTTGTGCGTAACTGTGACGCACGAATTTTGAAAGTGATGCGTATTTTAGATTTTCTATGCGTATTTTACGCTTATACGCACGCTATCTGGAGCTCTGATTCTGAAATGCTGCGGAATTGTCTGCCCTTTATATTTCACACCCTTTACTTTAAAAACATTTATTTTAGCTTGATTGCATAACATTAGTTCTGGCAATGTTTTCTGGACATAACAAGTATTATTGCCATATGAGGAAACATGGTTGTGACCTGGTTATGGCTTGAACCCGTTATCCCTGGGCTGAGTGGCAGACACCTTAACCACTCCCCTACCACTCCCCTTTGTCTGCAGCCTTTATCATATACTCCCAGCGAAAGTTAGGTTCATTAAACATGCCAGCATATGTTTTAGCTTCTTCTTTGAGCAGTTAGCTTTAAATATTGACTTCAAGGAGCTGTCATTAAAAGTACTTGTGTAATAGATTTACATTATTTTACTGAGAGGATTTCTTAATTTTTAGACAATAAATTATTTTGAAAGTGATTAGAGACTAAGATTTATTCTTGATAAACACTTTCAGTACTCTAGGCTTTTTTATAACACTGTTGTTCTTAAATGAATTTTGTGAAAAAATATCATAACAAAAACACAAATGTTTGTGTTAATTTTGTTTAAGTATAGAGTAACCATAATCTTCCTGGAACAGAAAACAACTGTCCTTTGCCTCCAGTAAAGAGCCAGTCATAAGTAGCATGCATTTTTGTGCAATCTGACACTAAGGCACTATGATTTACTGTTGGGCTCCAGTATATACCATGACCGAAGGAAAAGTTCAGCTTTAAAAAGGCTCATTACTATAAATTAGGTGCATGCAATAAGTTAAACATAATGGCTGAGGTGTATTTTGTTCTTGTATGATAATTAATCGAGGTTAATTGAGGAATACATTGTATAAGCCATTAGAGAAGCTCTTATCAAATAATTCAGCAAGAAAAACATCTGCTCTAATACTTATATAGATACTGCTGATAATTCTTCCCTTAGCAAAAAAACAACCAACAATAAAAAAACAGTGTCATTGTATATGTATTGGAAAATAAACACTGAATAATTCTCTGTGAGTATTGAAAAGTGATACAATGTATCATATTGTCACAGTTTTATTTGAAATATAACATTAAAGCCCAGGAAAAAAGATTCTTACCATTGGTTTAATGTGACTGCTATTCGCTTTGCTCATTATTGAGGAATGATGTTGATCTGATCATAATATACTGTTCAGGAATATGTTACTTTAATGTCATTGACTTTTATGGATAGTGATATATCATAATCATGTGTTTTTAAAGGTTGAAAAGTGGCAAAAAACGAGAGCGGTTGACATTATATAGTGTTGAATTTAGTCTAAATTTAGACACATTTAAACACGGGAAGTAACAGGTAATTTGTAATATCAGATCATTTTAATTTCATGATTTTGTTTATTATTACAATTCTTAAATTGAATGAAAGGTATTTTGACTACTTGCCCCTGACCGCCAGACAAGGACTTTAGATTCTTTCATGTTAGGGAGCTATCCAGCTAGCTTACGGAATGTTGATGTGCCTAAAAATAATGCTCGGATCTTAGGGCACATGAGGTCTTCCTTCACCAGTAAAGCTGGAACATTGCCATATGACCTATACTGTATTGGTGTGACGTAAAACCCAAATAACCAACAATCAAACAATATGATCCTCAAGAGACATTGCTTTGAATAAGTGTATCGATGTCACACTCAAATATTAGACAGTAGTGGATTGGTAGTCCAGTGGTAGAGTGCTGTGTTTCGTTGCTCTACATTAGGCATGTAAAAGAACCACAGGGTGGCCCATGGAATTTGGCAGCTGCTGTAATTCCTTGCACTACTTTGAATACTTAAACAACTATTTGTTCAAGAGGTGTCACAGTTTGGGGCATCCAAACTGAAAAAGAAACAATGAAAAACATAAAACATTAGACAAAATAGATAATCATGGTACTGTTTATCAAAATAGATAATCATGGTACTGTTTATATGCATAGAAAATTTTTACAGTATTATAAGATTATATATGTACATGTATTATACTAACTATGTAATTATAAGTTGTCACACCTTTTGGTCTCCAGGTTCAACACTTGTGTTTTTTATAATTTTTGCACCAGGCTGACTAAAGTCAATCGTAGATCAATATAAAACAGAGTGACAGCTGGAATGCTAAAAAAAACTATCTAAGAAATAAAATAATTAGATGATAAATTTTACAGACTGTTATATTATACATGCAAAATAAGAAATAATTTGTATTAAATCTGATAGTGGCACATTATAATTGTCTCATTAGTCGGTTATTCTTAACTCTCTAAGTAAATTATCATCATTTTCTCAAAAGCAAAGATTTTCTTTGATATTGTATATTGTTGAAAACAGGATACAGTTGAAAACATTGTAGTTTTCCCCAACAAAAAGATAATAATATTTATATAATGTTTCTTTATTATTTTGCTTGCTCATTGCTTTGTTCTAATTGTTAGTTTTATCTGAAGAAGATATCTCCATCATATATGCAGATGTTTCCAATTTCATATGCGCAACAACAATATCCATGCAAAGGGGTTAAATATAGTTTGATGCTAAAGAAAGAAAAACTGTCAAAAGTATATTAATTATAATGTTAAAAATTTCTTGAATGCTGTTTCATAGAAATACTAAAAAAACAAAATATTTAATTTGTTTCAAGTGCGTATAGAAATCCTTTGTCTCTTGATAATATATAACATGCTACAGCAGTTAACTCCCTTGATCACTATGTCAAGAGGTTGATATGGGCCTTTACCCCCTAAAAATGGTTGCTTGGCTGCATAAGTGCCAAAAATATTAATGAATTAATGATGCTTAGCTGCTTTAGTGCCAAAAATATTAATGAATTTTTTTTTTCCTTATTCAAAAATCGCTATTTCAAGTTTTTTTATTATTATTGTATATTCAAAGTGAGGATGATGGAGCAATATGAGAATGGTAAAAAATCTATTAGTACTAATGTTCATTTGGTGCAAGAGCATTATATTTTAATTGCCAGTTCATTAAGAGAGCAATTTGGGTTAATTTAACTTAATAATAATACTGTGAATGTAGATATATGTACAGTGTAACTAAGTTAAGGGAGTAGTTATTAATTAATGATTGATGGAGTATTAAGTTAATTTAAAGAAAGCATACATGTAGATGATTTAAGTGAGCATTAAATTAATTTATCATTTTAAAGGTAGTAAATGACAAGTTAGTTAAAATTAATATTAGATTTTGATTCATTTACAAATTCAGTGTTACTGAATGGCCAGTTTAAGTTAGCATTATCAGATTTTGATTTATTTACTAATTTAGTAATTCAGTGTTTAATTTTATACCGTGTGAGTATTTAATTAATGCTGTAAATACAGTATAGTAAAATGTATGGTGCTTTGTAGCAATACATCATATGACATTGTATATGTGAAAAGAATGATAATGAAATTTAATGAAATTCAATTTAAAAGAACATTGTTTCATTAATGATAACAGACCACGACTTATTATAATAATATTTGTTAATGTATTTTTAGTATTGTGCTAAACATAGACATTTGACATTTACATCTAAAAATCATAAAATGTGGTTGTTTTAGGGTAAATTGTCTAGGTGGTTTAATATGATGAACTTTTGTAAATAAAAACATTTTAATGTTATGTTTTTTTTTATAATGTACATCATTAATTTTATCTTGCAGGTTGATGAAAGATAATTGGAGTCAAACTGTGAGGAGTCTTGTTTATAAAGAGGATTTAAAATAAGAAGTTTGATCCCAGGTAAGAAAAAAATTTTCAAACTGAATTACTTTACAATTTATTTAGTTACTATCTCCTTTAGTAGGCAAATTTTATATCACTTATAAGGGAGAGTGGTTTTAATGTTGTCTGATGAAAGTGACAGCCAGGAAACATGGTGGTCTGTATCTTGTTCTAGGTCAGCTAGGATAAGTCAGGACAGGAAAGGACAGGACAGGACAGGATGAAACCTGTCATACATAGAAATAACTGTTCTAGAGCAGAGGATAAAATAGTCCTATAAATGTGATGTTGCTTTGAGTTATAATTTTTGCTTCTTGGCCAAGCGCTACCGTCGGGCTTGACCGACATAAACTATAACAAGCCCGTAACGTCTGATACATTGGACTAGGGATAAAAAACTCTGTATATGATTTAGGAAGAAAACTGGGGCATCGCATATAATATGCATGGTTGTAAAGACATGTCTTATATGGTGGTTGGTAGAAAGGAGAAAAGTGTTTGATTGCTGGCATGTGAACTGATTTATCTTCCGTCTCGGCACAAGTGCTGTTGGAAGGATTGATTAGTGAATATTGTTCGCACCTCTCAACGTCATTAGACATTCTTAGGTGTCTGAATGTCGACATAAAGTAGAATATGGAAGAATATGTAATGAGAAAAATCTATCCTGTCTCAGAACTGTTGTTATTTTTTCTGATATTTTTCATTGAAAGGCAATGGCTGGATTGATTTAGTTTTAGCTCAACTGAGCACAGAGTGCTCAATACATGCAGAGGTGAATTTTAATGATAGAATATGATTTCTATCATCAATTTTATTCCACAGTTTCTTCAAACACCATGTACTTAGCCACTATGTAAATTTTGACCAGACTTCACAGGAATGACCCTAAGGTGACCCTTTTAGTTTTTTCAAGTGATTCCAGTCTGCATGCAGGAATCAAGGTCAAAGGAGATAACTAAAAGATTTAAAAAAATGAAATCTGTAAAAAATATCCTGAGAAGTTACAATTCTTTTATTTAATTAAGATATTTGGGATGTAGTAACTACATTAAAGCTTATAAAAATTCATGTTTATAGGGTTAAAAATGGCCCTGATCAGGGTCCCATACTTCAGTGTCATGGGCTTTAACTAGATTTAAAAAATCTTATAAACTATGATGTCCAGAGCTTTGTTAAAGGCATGATTTAATCAATATCTTGGGGTTCTCTTCAGAAGTTATCTAAATTTTGCCATAGAAATTGACACTCATGGGGTCAGTCAATGATTTTACATACACTTTTATATAGGAAAACTCATTTAAGTCTTTCATGTTAACTTTTAAATAAACAATATGGCAGTAGTGCTAAGATATTTGTTGAAAAAGTATATAAATCATGGTCATCAGGCCCTGGGGTAAAAAATTGCCTATCCCCATTGTGATCCAATGACTTATTTCTTCTTTTAATAGTTTGTTGAATATGAAATCACCTGACAAATTAAAGCATTTGTCTATTTTTTTGTAAAACCTTAATGGCCAAATTTAAGTAATTATCAGAATATAGGCATAATCTTACATTACATTTCACATATTTTTGTTTGTTTTTATACAGTATCTACCTATATGGATTATGTTCTACTTTCAAGCTTTATTACGGTCTCCCCCTACACCTTTGTCAAACTTAAATCTGTGTTTTATTATTATTTTCCTCATACTGTACTTATGTACCTGAGAGAATAAAGAGTATGTTCTGCTCTGTTCTGTTCTGTTCTGTTATGACTTTCTAGTAATTGATCTCAGGTGAGCTATCTAGGGCCATCATATAGGCTTGCAATTGGTATGGAAAAAAGCTTCAATATTTTGATTGCCCTCAAGTCCACTTTCTTAATAGGGCTAGACAGTGACTGATCCTATTCAGGTGTCTGAAACTTTAATGGTATTCAAGTACCATAATATGTCATCACCTTAGTGCAGTGATTTGTTAACTCCCTATATAATTTAAAAGGAGTTAACTCATTACTGCACTAAGGTGACATTATATATATAATATGGTTGGCTGATATCTTACAGGGTTTTAACTTGTTTGCAATGTTTTGCCATTAATTCCCTGCTGGTGATCTATGCCATCATTCTGATCAAGGTCTGCACTGTTGGATATAATTCACTCAGTATAATTTATTTTTCATTTTTCCTTAAAATGATGAATAGTTTTGCCCAGATTTGAAGATGGAAAAATCCATCTAAAATTATTTAGCATGAAAAGAAATGCTGTGAATGTGGAAAAATTGCATTTTTTGTCCCTGTTTTGTTACATGTATATATTCATATATATATATTCATGAGAATATAAAATATTCATGACTATATAAAAGGACTGTCATAATTATTTGGGGAAAAAAAAATAAAAAGGAAAACCCACCAAAATTGAATGTAATGTTTTTAAAGGATTGTGATGATTTGTATATCAGCAATCACTTATAGTGAAAGGCCTCGTGTGTTGTGTGTAACACTGGAAACAAAGTGTCTGCTTTGATGTTGTCTAAGACAATAGAAGATTTCTCAATAAATGAGCAGTGTCATTGTAGTCGAAGCCATGTTTTGTTAATATTGAGTGTTTTCTTTTAAAATGTGATCAAGAGATGATAAATATTAAAATGATTGATTGGTTTTCTATTTGTTGATTTTAAAATTCAGATAGAAAACATTTCTTCAAATGAGATATTATATATGAAAGTTTTAATTGTTGAATAATAAATAATATGTTGCCTTACAAAAATAATTTGTTTTGTAATTGATAAATAATTTAGCGACACTCAACTATTTTGAACTAGTTTGCTGCTTCCCTGTAATATCTTGAAGTTGTTCATTTATAAATGTACATTTTTTTCTTCCCCTTTTAACAAAAACAAACACAAAAAAACACACACACAAAAAACAACAACATCAAAAACAACAAAAAACTCAACACAAATTAAGGGAATGAAGTGCCCCCTCCCTGCCTGTGGATTCCCCCACCCCCACTTTCCCCAAAGCATTGTATAGATTTTGGCTTCTCAGTTTTAGTATTTTATCACAATTACTGCATTTATTCCAGATTCAAATCTGCTTTAAGCTATTATTAAATAGTGCTTAAATATGTGTATTATTCATGTTATGTGTAGGAAGCTATAAGCTATAATTCATGTTCTTTTGCTGAAGGAAACATGACTTTAAGGTCCTTATGGGGTTTGAACTGGACCAACATATTTAGATATAATGTTTATAAAATGTTTAACAGCACTATAATAACTGCTTTATAGTTTGGCATTACAGTTTCAAGTTTTATTGTGTGAAATTGATATGTTAAAATCATCTCTGTCTAAGTTGTGTGATTTTTACTTTAAATCAACTGCATGGAAAACATTAAAGTTGACACTTTATGTGATTATGTCACTGAGGGGGCCATTTGTTATTTAATGCAATGTATAATTTGATTTTTTGATATTTATGGCTTGAATATGATAGATTATAGAAATAAACATTTTTTATAACACTTGTCTGTCATGATACACCCAGCCCGTATGTCAATATTGTTTGGTTGTCACTGAAATTTGCTACAGTTTTAAAGGAGAGCTGCATTGAGAGCAGTGAAAACAAACATTATAAATAATGTGAAAATTAAATGATTGTAGACCATAGGTTTTAATTGAATCTGCATGCTAATGAGTTTGTTTTGTTTGTTTGTTTGTTTCATTTTACGCCTTTAAACAATTTCCCAACAGTATTTCAGTCATATAGGCGGGTAGTTTCCTAACCATCGTTCCTGGAGAGTAACACCAGTACTAGACTACCTTCCTCCGTGCTAAACTACCAAAGCATCTCCCGGGGAGCGAACCCACGCCAGAGAGGTAACAGGATTGAAGTCATCGACTCTAACCCCTCGACACATGCTTATGAGAGACATTGGTCTGTTTGGATGTTAGAGGTAATGGGTAATTGAAGTCTGTTCATGAGAAGCAATAGATGATCTAGGTATGTTTATGAGTGGCAATGGATAATTAAAGTCTGTTCATGAAAGGCAATGGATGATTGAAGACTGTTCATGAGAGACATCTTCATGTGAGGCAATGGATGATCTAGGCATGTTTATGAGTGGCAATGGATGATTAAAGTCTATTCATATGACACAATAGTTGACTCTCAAAGTATGTTTATTAGAGGTAATTGACGATTGAAGTCCATTTATGAGACAGCCGTTGATATGTTGGGTTAATGGATGATTAAAGGCTGTTCATGAGAGGCAGTAGATCATCTAGGTATGTTGATGAGAGGTAATGGATGATCGAAGTCTGTTTATGAGAGGCATGTTTATGTGAATCATTGGATTATCTAGGTATGTTTATGAGTGGCAATGGAATCGATTAAAGTTTGTTCATGAGAGACAGTGGATGATTGAAGTCTGTTCATGAATGAGAGGCAATGGATATGTTTGAAGGCATTATTGAAAGTCCAACATCTTGTGTATGCACCCTTTAATAGCACTTGCTTGAGCAATATTTTATCTTCTGATCTCTTGAAAGGAGTATTATATTATATGTGAATGATAATGAGGAACCTTATTCAATCTTCATGGAATCGATATCAATTTAAAAACCTTGGAACTATAACTACAAAAAATATAACTAATTTACAGCACCTTGAGATGAATGAGTTCAAGGCATTTTTTTTTACATCTTCACACCTGCTATAATGAATAAGTAAGTTCAGAAAAAGGGGGAGATAGTTATACCTTGAGATCAATACAGAGAGTTAAGAGAGTGATAGTGAGAAGAAATATTATAAGACTAAAGATATCATTTAACAGCCACACCAGTCTAGTAGTCAATTAGTGTTCTTTATATAATTTTTATATCATATACAAAAAGACAAAATTTACTGAACTGTTACATTAGTTAAGACAAGAACTCAGCTAACAATTAAGTGTCTTTTTACCAGACTGCATGTTCTTAAATTATTAAAATAGAAACAAAAAATCATGACTTTAATTTAGCATTTGTC